CCGTGCCCGCCAGAGTCTCACTGGGTAAAAGCATTGGATAAGGTGTGGCAGGGTGGTTTTTCAGCTTTTCAGTTGAAAAGAAATAGTGATATCATTATTCAGGGTTCTCAACTCAGGGCTGTCAGAATCAGAAGGAGCGAAGTTCCCTCCCGCCTCTTGCTTTCCATTCACACACTGTCATCTGTTTCCCAGACTCACTGTGAAAGCCACAGGGAGCTCCAACTACATCAGCTTTGCTGGAACCATTTCAGAAAGACAGTGTCTGTTTGGGGCATTACTCCCACCACTGGCAGTACCAGAGCTCAGTGCTTTGATAAATAAGACAATTCTACAAGTGCCCAAACTTACTCTGTAAATACAAAAACTTTGTTTGTTGGCCTTATTTAGACAGAGAGTTTGAGAGCAGGGTTCATATTTCATAATTTCTGAGAAGGAGAGGGCTGCACTCCCTGGAGCTGTGGTCTAGTCCTTCGCAGACCCTAAATTCCAGAGTGAGTGTTTGCAACACATCATTGTCAGTTTGGACAAAATCAGGTTGGGCCCCAAGACATATGAGGATTTAACCAGCAAGGCACAGAGAATAAGGAACCAGCATGAAAGACGCCATGAAATTTCCAGTCTTCCCTGACTTAGATGAAGCGGGGGAATGTGTTCTTTCCTTGAGGTGTGAGCAGGTTCCTTTTGAGGTGTCCTTTAGTTGCAGTTTTATATTCCATGTCTGAGCAGGTCCTTTGTGAAGCACCCCTGATCTGGGCAGCCACATCACAGACACCAAGGCCCCCAACGGGCTTGGAGTGAAAGGAGACAGGTGGCGCGCTCGCCAGATCCTCACACCTCTACGAAGTGGCAAAGTGCCTTGGGGACTTCTTGTTAGATTTAAGGGAGAGAATGTAAAATGATGACCTGGTGAAACGTGGGGCAGCTGTGTATCCTTGTCAGTGGCTGAACGAGAGCTGGACGTTGCAGGGATCACCACGGTGTTGACCATGTCCACCATCATCACCGGCGTGAACGCCTCCATGCCCCGCGTCTCCTACATCAAGGCGGTGGACATCTACCTCTGGGTCAGCTTCGTGTTCGTGTTCCTCTCGGTGCTGGAGTACGCAGCCGTCAACTACCTGACCACCGTGCAGGAGCGGAAGGAGCGGAAGCTGCAGGAGAAGGTGAGAGAAGCTTCATTCACATCCTTGTCGGAGCCAGTGCTGCTGGTTGGATGAGAGTCGGGGAGGGGGCTGCATGGAGGAAAAAGAGGTATTTGTGCAAAAGGAGGAGACTGATTTTAGAGTAGGTTCCAGCTTCTACCACAAAGGATCCCAGAAAGTAGTAAGTCTCGGGACAAACAGCAGGATGACTTGGGTTCTTAGGCCCAACTCTGCCACTGATGTTTCGTCATCTGTTAAAAAAAAAAGTATAACTGAACCCTGACTCTGGCCCCTGCCCCCTCCCTCCCAGGGTTATTGTAAGCATCAGATGAGATAATGTATATGAAAGCTGTTTTGAAACTGTGTGGTTCTAGGCACACATGAAATATCACTTATTACTGAACATGTCTAGGGAAGTTGCCTCCATGTCTTATGAGCCAATGAGGGGAAAGTTCTAGAATAAAAAGCTCCTGTATTTATCAGTGAAAATTCAGGCATGCACAACTTTAGCCTTGACTCACTGGAAATAGTATGCCATCTATACCATACTGCTCTGTACTGAACTGTACTGTGGCGTAGAAAGCAAATGGGGAATTCAGGCCAGTGTGCCTGGGTGGAGAGGGAAAGTCTATTCTATTCCTATGCAGACTCGTTTTAATATAGTTAAGAAATAAAATGCCAACTTTTTACCAAATCCTTGCTAATCATTGCACTAATCAAAATGAGTGCTCTAACAAGGGCAGAGATCAGGGCACGTGAAAACCCCATATTTATGCATGTGGCTAGGTGCTGAGAGCTGCTTAGCACAAGGGAGCTTTAAATTTTAGGAATAGAGGATATGTTGCCTTTTCAAAAATAGTCTTTTAAATTTTTTGAGGAGGGTAATTAGGTTTTCTCTTTATTTATTTTAATGGAGGTACTGGAGATTGAACCCAGGACCTCGTGCATGCTAAGCATGCACTCTACCACTTGAGCTACCAACTCCCCAAAATTGTCTTTTAATGCCCACATTGTACCTGTTAAATATTTCCACATTATCTTCAAGTATGCTAGATTGTTTAAGAATTTGTATTTTAAATTATCTTCAAAACTTGTTTGTTTCAGCATTTGAGTATTCATTCAAATTTTCAATAATCTATACGTTGATCATCAGCAAATGCTGTTAGATTATAGTTAAACCTTTTTGATTTATAATCTGTTAGACTCTCCTATGTAGAGCTGTTCAAAAAATAGCAACACCTTCATCTGGCAAATACAGGCCCGTGAACCATTGACCGTGCATAACTTGTACTTGGGCAGTTCATTAACCTGTTACCAGACGATTTAAGACTGAGAAGGTGTGGTGGCTGGAGGGTGGACTACTGGGAAGACACAAAATCTCTCTCTCATTGCCCCACAGAGAAACCACTATTCAGGACCATTTTTGTAGCCCCCAGTGGAGCTGAGGTTCCTAAAGTGGGAGACCAGAGGTTCCTGGCCTGGCTTCACCTTCTCAGCCTACTAAAGATGAAGATTCTGGGGCTGCACCCCAGACCTACCAATTCAGAATCTCTGGAGATGGTACCCTGGCACTGGCATTGCTGGCCAGCTCCCAGGCGATACTGATGCTCACTGAAGTTGGACTTCTGCTCTGCCGAACAGCCTGCTCGTTTATCCTGGCCCAGATGCGGTGCCCGCACTGCTTTGGGTTGAAGCCGGCAGGGGGAGTTTGGGAGAACAGGGTCTGCTTCCCCTGTATGTGCTCGAATTCTCTGGCTGTCTATCCAGACCTGTCCAGTGTGCCAGGAGCCACTCAACTTTTCTTAGAAACAAGTTGATGTGAAAATTAGAGATTTTTCATAATTTTTGGCATTTCCTGATTCTAACTCAAAATCTTAAGAGAAAAATTTGTTTTCATTTTAGCAGAAAAAATTTCAGTTTAGAGCAAGGAAAAGAAGTAGAGACCAGTGTCTTAAAAAAAAAAAGTCCCGAATAATATAACAATCTCTCCCATTTTATCAAAGTTGGGGTGTGATTATATCTAGGTGCAAAGACTTGAATAGATGGCCTCTTACTGACCTTTTATCCTTAAAATCCATGAGTTAATTATTCTAGGAATGTATTAATGTGCTACTTAATTATTGTGGCTGATGGGACAAGACATAGAAATAATAATGAAACAATCATGCCTGATTTAAAAAACAATAGCTCCCCGAGCCACAGAAGATTCCTTCATACGTAAAAATACTTCAATTAATTCTGATTTGACGTAAAATCATTCATCTGTTTTTGCATTCTAAAGTTTCCTGGTATCCATCTGCGTATTTCAAGACCCATGACAGTAGGGTGTGAAAGAGACAGGGTGTGAAATATCATTATTTCACTTTCCCAGATGGAAAAACAGAAGCACTGCGGGGCTGAGAGCCAGGTTAGGAACATATTAAAGCCAAAAGGTTGAGAAGAATAAACCCAAGTTCAGCTGGCTGGATCAGGCAGGCGTCACGCTTTTGGCCAACACCAACCAAACACAAACCTGTGAATTCTTGTTTAAGTTTTCACTAATCTGCTAAGTTGATCAAATGCCTTTGGATTATCTTTAAATACTTTGGATTTATCATCCATTGGACTTTCCTGTATAGAGTCGTTAAAAATATAGCAAAGCCTTCATCCAACAAATATGGGCTCATGAACCAACTGTAAACCGGCGCCAGCTTTGCTGACTCAAATTGTGAGGAGGAGTTAAGCAAAACCATTTCCTTCCCTCCAATTTATAATTTCTTTTAAACATTTTCAGACTTGCAGAAACAGTTGAAAAAAATAGAATAATACATATTCATATACCTTGCCCCTCCATCCAACATTGTTACCATTTTGCCATTTTTGTGTGAGCTTTTTCTCATAGAAACATATTTTTGATGGCACAGTTGAACCATTTAAAAATACATGACAGGCACCATGCCCTTTATCCTTAAATGTAACTCTTTAGAGTAAGGACATGCTGCTCCCTAATCAACTTTGGATTCATACACACAGAGTGGGGGCCTGTGACTGGACCCAGACTGTGTGGGTTTATTTATTTATTTTTATTTATTTATTTTTAATGTATTTTTATTGAAGTATGGTCAGTTTCTGGTGTACAGCACAATGCTTCAGTCATACATGAACATACATATATTCATTTTCATATTCTTTTTCACCTTAAGTTACTGCAAGATATAGAATATAGTTCCCTGTGCTATACAGCATGAACTTGTTGTTTATCTATTTTTTGTATATTAATATCTGCAAATCTTAAACTCCCAATTTATTCCTTCCCACCCCCTTCCCTGCCGGTAACCATAAGTTTGTTTTCTATGACTGTGAGTCTGATTCTGTTTTGTAAATAAGTTCATTTGTCTCTTTTTTAGATTCCAGAATGCATGGGTTTAAAGTCCTGACTCTGACACTAGCTGTGTGCTCTCAGGATGATTGTATACTCTCTGTCTTGGTCTTAGTCTTTGCCTCTGCATTTGAGGACATTTGAACTAAATCAGTGGTTCTGGACCCTGGCTGTGTAGTAGAATCACCTGAGCCTTAGATTAATTAATAAATTAATCACCTGGTATGGCCATTTAAAGAACTCCCCAAGTGATTTTTACTATGCAGCCAGGGTGAAGACTCGTTGGACAAAGTGATCTCTGGAGATGCTTTTAGTCCTGCCTTTGGCTGGTTCTGAGTAGCCACGGGCTTTACTCTCAGCCCAGGCTGCCTCCTCTGCCCACTCACAGGACTGAACCTACCTGACATGCCCGCTTGTGTTTGCCACCTGCAGTTCCCTTGCATGTGTGGAATGCTTCCCTCAAGAACCATGATGCTGGATGGAAGCTACAGTGAGTCTGAGGCCAACAGCCTGGCAGGGTACCCACGAAGCCACACTCTCACAGAAGAAGAAAGGCAAGACAAAATCGTGGTCCACCTGGCCCTGAGCAATGAATCCAACTCCTCCAGGAAGAAGGGGCTTCTGAAGGGCCAGATGGGTCGTCGCATCTTCCAGAACACCCACGCCATTGACAAATACTCCCGGTTGATATTCCCGGCCACTTACATATTTTTCAACTTAATTTATTGGTCAGTGTTTGCCTAAGGGTTCTGAGGATGTGCCTGGGAAAGGGCCTAGACATTGATGAGGTCTCGCCAGCCGCCCACACAAGGACCTGTTGACTGTGTTCCCTCACAGACAGAGCAGCAGCTCCGGGACCAAGTGGAGCAGCATCCTCGCTCCTGGAGGAGCCCAGGAGCCCCCCAGCTGCCCTTCCCCAGACCTTATGGGCTTGATGATCATTCATGCTGTGTTGTGTCCCATTTCATGCCTCTCTGGGACTGTCTTCTTCTGTTCCTGGGTGTGAATAGCTTCACGAGAGCCCCTCTCCAATTAAAAAAAAAAGACTCAAATACCTCCCAGATGAACGTTCTGAGACCCATATGAAGCCTAAGATTCAGTTGTAAAGGGAAGGGGAAAATGAACGGCAAGCTTAGGGACATTCTGGATGGGAGACAGGAAGTTAGGTTCAAAATAGGAATTAAAATACCTGTAAACCCTACACCTGGACTAAGTGCCTACCTAGGAAAGAAAAAAATCTCGGATCCCAGACAGGAAATGATTCGGCCTGGGTCTGATCTGATCTGACCTGAGTCTGGCAACTCCCATGATTTTGCAATATTAGAGGACATCATTCATCCATCCATTCAACCATTCATTAAATATTGAGTACCCACCCTGTGCCAGTGCTTCTTTTTCTCAGCAGTGATGTGTGACAATGTGCACTGAGTATTGCCAACCAGGGAAACATCACCCAAACACATCAAGGTGTACAGAGTTTTTACTGGGGGTTGGTCATCTAGACACAGCTGACTGCTAGTATGTCTGACCTTAGTCTCCAGCTCCTCCAGAGGATGAGCTGATAACTCATAGCCCAAGGCCCCCATCATCATAAATCGTTAGCCTAGGCCATCTGGCATGGCTGTAGCCCTCAGGTAAACAAAGACCCTCCTATCAGATAGGGCATTCCAAGAGTTTAGAAGTTACCTCCCAGGAGCTGGTGGCCAAGGAAGGCCCAAACCTTTCTTTTGGCACAGTTAACCCTTTACTGCCCAGCAACCCTTGTCAATTTCTCATTGTTAATGTTAATTACTGTGTTGCTGTTATAGATTCATGCAACAAACATTTTAAAACATCCCTGCACTAGGTATGGGGGTGTGCAAATTAAGAAAAGGAGATAGTCTTATTCTTATACAACTCTCAGAGAAAAGACTGGTAGAGGATATGATATACAATTATCTATACATTGAAAGGTGTTAAGTCCAATAAAAATGGTTCAAAGTGTAAAGGGAATTCTGAAGAAGGAAAGAATGACTTTCAGTGGAAGACTGGATCCCCTGGAGCCTCTGAGCTGCCCCTTGAAGGTTGCGGACTTGGAGGAGAAATGTTCATGTTGGGTGCACGTGTAGAAAAGTACATGCTAGATTTGTGCTGTCCAATATGGTAGCCACTGGTCATGTATCTACTTAAATTTAGGTTAGTTAAAGTAAATTAAATTTAAAACTCCATTCTTGCCACATTGCACTGGCCACACACAGCTCAAGTGTGGATAGTGTGGATCTATAGAACATTTCCACAACCACAGAGAGTCCTATTAGACACTGCTGATCTGGATGAAAGGACTGGCCTGAGCAAAGACATGAAAGAGGCAGGGACTTTCGGGATTGCAGAGTATAGAGTTCGAGGGACAAGCCATCAGTTTTGGCTGGGTCCTGGGCTACGGGAACAGGAAGTGAGAGTCTAGCTATTTCTGCCACATTGGGGGGTCACGGCAGGTCCCCTTCCCTCCATGCCAGTGCTAATGAGGACAGCTTCCCTTCCATGGGGTTGCCTGGCCCAAGACCAGCGGATCTCCCAGCTTCATAAATAAATGAAGAATGAAAGTAAGTAAGCAAAGAAATGGGATGGCACAAGGCATCTGGACATGTTTAGAAACCTTAACTCTCTGGAGACTCTCTTAGGCCACAGTGATGCTCAAAAAATGATAATTACAGTGTTGTTAAATACATCACATTGCTTTGGTTGTCTTATTTAATTCCAACACTACTCTGCTTCTGAACTGCATTGTCTTCATAAATTGAGACTCATAAATTATGGTGTACTTATACTAAAAAAAAAGATGTATTTAACTAGCTTGTATAGTGAACTTGAGTTCACTCTATAGCAAACATTCAGAATTGTAAACAGCATTTTATCATGTGGGGCCATGAAGCAATGACGCCAGGATTTAGCACAGCCTTACGGCAGTGTAATAATCTGACTCTACTTGAGACAAATAGAAAATTAAATGAGGTAAGGAGGTGACGCAGTAGGAGCAGAAAACAGGAACTTATGAGCAATGCAGACATGGAACAATCAACTAAGAGAGGAGGACAGAGGAGTAAACATAATTGTTATCAGAGATGCTTGAATGATACTTTATTTCACTGAATCTAAGACACCATCAAATGTAAGATGCACCCATATCTTATGTACTCATATCTAAGAAAAAAAATGCTGCTAATTAAATTATAGCACACCAATGATGATAAGATGAATCCTGACTTCACCAATATTAAATTGTGAAAAATGCACATATTAGAATAAAAGAAATAGGTGTTATACAAAACCTGATGATCAGACATACTTCTTTAACACCAAGGAGGCAACATCTATTGTACACTTGTCTTCAGGCCTTGTGCCTGGGTTGGCGATGGGGTGGTGACAGCTAAAGAAATGAATGGGAAACACCTTTCATTCATTAAGAAACTCACACTGGAGTAGTCATGGTTCATAAGAGGGAGAGATCACAGAATTTGAGGAGTAAATTCTGTTTATGGTAACTTTTGATCACTGTTTAGATATAACTTCAACTAGCAGAAAGGAGGGGAGGGGATGGTAACACATCAGCAGGAAAGCTTGAGCGTGTTCAGGGAACAGTGAGCAGGCACCTACCAAATGCACTGAAGTCTTGGGCTCTCATCCTGGTTCTGTGACCTTGGTGTCAAGGGTCCTAGGTTCATTCCACTTAGAGTAAATCTGGGGAAGAAACTGGACTGGTCTGGTCTGGGCCCGTGTATGTCAAAGATGATCAGAGCTCTGGGCTGTGTGTAAATGTAGAAAGTCAGATCTCTTCAAAACCACTTTGATTTGGTTCAACATTTCTGTCAACCTCTGTAGAAGGGAGACCATGAATTCAAAAAATGGAAAGCTGCTTAGTTTCAGGGAACAAACGAGGCAGGACAACAATGATTGTAATAATGGAGAAAATCCGTGTTAAGCTCGGTGACGTGTGAGAGCTGCAGCCTGTGCGCTGACAGGAACAGAGGCCGGGAGGCCAGGGGAGGAGCTATTCCACGCGGAAGGGGAGGAGTTTGAGTTTGGTTAGCACATAGAGATGGCGAGTAAAAAGTTATAAACGCTGGTCCAAGGCTGGAGGAAGGTAAAGTTTTGGGACTACCCTCCCAAAAGTGCTCAGTAGAGCTATCAAAGTGGACAAAACGCCTGAAGGAGAAAAGGTCTGCAGCCAGAGCTTGGGAGTATTTATTTAGGTGGGAAGAGAAGGGCTGAGGAGGGGAATAGAAGGAGAACCAGAAGACTATGTCATAGATACAGGAAGAAGGGAGACTCTCACGTGGAGGAGGGTAGGGCTGGGGGCAAATTACAGGCCCCCAAACTGAGAAGGGCGAAGGCTGTGAACCGACGTGGTGAACTGGAGGCGGGAGGTTCGGTGGGATCGATCACTCAGGTAGACGGCTTTCCTTGCAAAGAACAGGGATCATTCTCTCAAGCACAAGGGGTTTACGTAGGCAGAAGGAAAATCTACGGAGAACTACTGCTGTTTACTGTGGAAAGACTATTTTAGACTCTTGTTTTCTTGGAGGATTTAAAAATAACACTATGGCACACCTGGCCTGGCTGAGGGTTGTGGTCTCAATGGTTGGTTCCCCAAACTCTTCTGTTGGAATCTGGGGGAGTGGTCCAAGAACAGTGTTCATAACTTGGTTACCAGGTTCCTGGGAAGCAGCAGTCATGAGGACCCATGCGCCATCCTCCGTCTGCACACACGGGGTGGACACAGGAGAGCGTGGCCACTGCCTCAGCCATCACAGAAGATGCGAGGACAGACGTTAAAGCAACTGCGTTGTGTAAAGGGCTGAATATCGAGTGAGTTCTCTGTGCTTGGCATCACGGTGAGAGTGGGATGCACGGGTCCTAACTCAGTTCTCACGTAAACCCCACCGAGGTGGGAGGGATTTCCCTCACTGCAGGCGCACTGAAGCATGCTGCCTTCCATAGCTGTGCTCAACACGTCTAGGTAGGTGGGCTTTGTATGGAACAATTCATTTCTTACAGTATTTTCAGGGAAAGGGTGATTTCTCCCCTTACTTAGATGGACGGAGGCTGAGAAGAAAGCCCAAGCTGGTCTGGTATGAAACTTGTTGGCATGGAGTTATCCCTACACCCGGTGGAACTTGGAGTTAAACTAGGATATGGGTTTGGCTCCTTGAGGCTGGGAGCTGGCCTGTGGGACAAGCAGCCATTGGGGACCGCCTTCTCCTCACCCTCAACCCCCAGCCCCCAGCCCCCTCCAATCATGAAGAAACGTGACATGAGTTAGAATGGTACCCACGAGGAAGACGGTGTGCCCGACATGTGTCTGAGGGCTAGCACGCTGGCCTATTTGCACTGAGATCTAAACGCTATGCCAGAAAAGCCCTGTGTCCCAGCCTGTGTAACCTCCAGACCAATCGGAGCATGTGCACACTGTGTATAAAAACACCCGCCATTAGCAAATTGACTAAAACACTCAGTCCTCACCTTCAGATCTGCACATGTCATTATGAAATGACATCTGGGTCAGCCTTTGAGAACATTAGGTTTGGGATTTATTTTAAAAGATAAATCAAAAAGCAAACCTCAGGTGTAGAGGTTTAAACTGGCCAAGTTTATGACGATGAAAGCTCTTCACCTGGTCCGTTGAGCCCCAAGGCGTCTCAGACTTTAAGGAGCCAATTAATAACCCGGGGATCTTGTTGAAATGCAGATTCTGATTCAGTAGGTTTGGGAGGGGACTGGGGAGTATGCATTTCTAACAGTCATCCAGGGGATGTCAGTCAGCTCACCAGGCCTCAAATCGGGAAGCCCTAGAGACCAACCCCTTAGCATTTAAAGTTGAGCTCAAATGTCACCTCCCCTCTGTGGCTTTTTCTGACATCCTCTCCCTTCCCAAGAATAATTCATGTTTAACTCACCTGTGTTTCCAAAGCACTTTATGCTGTGATTATTCTCCTTAATCTGCGCTTCCCAGCCCT